GAACAAACTTCAGACCTACCAGTGACACCAAACTTTGCAGAAGTATGAGAAAGTTCACAGATTTTGGGGCACCACATCTAAGCAGACCTTCCAACACAAACACAGCACCACTAGCACAACCGTGGGGTTTTTTATCTCATATATATATGTAAAACGAAAGAAACCGCACAACTATCCTCACATTGGTCCAATTTCACCCACTTTTGCAACAGTGCCATGTACATATATTAGGTCTAGTCAACGCTCTGGTCAAGTTTGTCAACATAGTTCTATGCTAGCTATAAACGAAAACAAATCATTTTGACACTGACTTCTCAAATATAACTCTTGTTGGCTTTTTTTTTTTTTTTTGCATTTAGTACTGACTTAAAAAAAAAAAAATCATTCAGTTGAAGGAAGAGAATCATCTAAAGTTCAGTTGTTGAACACAGGGTAAGGTTACACGGAGCTTTTTCCACTGACGAACAATGTTGAAAGCATCCTTAGTATTACAGTGTAAAAGCATTTCTCTTTTCTAGCATAAGCATGCATTTAATTAAAAAAAAAAAAAGAATTTCACTGCATAGGAAGCGTAGGCATTTCATGCTTTCACATTTGCACTTCCAAGACTACAAAATTTGTCTCGCAGACGCAGCACAGCCCACCTTGCACAAAAGGAAAGGAAAAGCCGCAACTTGACCGCTCACTACTTTTCTTTACATCTCACTTTGAAACAGCACGCTCATTATATGCTTTCCGCTGGGTGGGGGGAAAGCCAGCACGCCTGTGCTTGCAGCTCCTCCTCTTTCAGAGACGCACAGCTGCAGCTGTAGTAAACAACCACTAGTCAGGAGCTGAGAAGGTCAAAGTCTCGGTGCTGCATCCATTTCAGCTTTTCTAAAAATGAAATTTCCATTTAAAGAAATTAATTGTTTTGTTTCAGTTTGTAGTTACGTCAAGGAACGGCAAACCGCAATCCATCCTCCAACAAAACAAACCAAGATACAACACTTCAAAAGCCACAAGCAAAACGCTTCAGTAAAAACAAGTATTTCCCCAGCTTTATTAATATACAAACACCTAATTCACAGCCTCATATTTTGCTTGATTCAAACAAAGGCTTGGTGACAACCAACCTTCCACTGACAAGACCTGTTACACAACACAAGTGACACTCACTGAAGGAACCAGCCAGGAGGTTGGCCATCCTGAAAAGTGGCACCAGAGGCCACCCAACGTCTCACAGAGGTTATCCAGCATCCTGAAGCAGAGAGGCTACAGCACGGCAACTTTGGGAAGGCTAGCCTAAGTGGGCATTGTCCACCCACTGATGAGAAAAGGCACATACCTCCCCTTTATTTCATAAACTACCCAAAATCTGAACACCAGGACACCCTTCTAGCACCAAAACGTGCACTGAATTACGCAGATCCTCTGCAAGCTCCCCAAGCACCCAGGAGAGGCACCTTCCTCAACAGGATGGTCTGTATTTCTATTTAATTGTGGTGGGTATCATCACACACCACCTTTTTCCTGGGTGAAGAGGAGGACAGTCACTACCACGGAGCTCTGCAGCCCAAGCCCTTGGCTGACCCCACTCTACCAT